TTTTTTGGTCGGCCGGCGAGCTGGGCATAAATACCATGTCAAGCTTCAGATTTCCATTGGCGGAGTGATAGTAGACAAGACTTCCCAAATCTCCATTCCCCAATTTTCCAACGTCGCGGATTGTGCTGTTCGTGCAAAATTGAGCCGTGAGCAGCTTGAAGACATCAACAGGCGTGCGAAGAAGTTGTATCTGGAATCAGTCGACCCCAAAGGGCTAAAGTAGGCACCTGAGAACTTTCAAACATATGGTACAGGGAAAAGTGTAACAAACTAAATGATTTTCCCTGTCTTGTTGACAACTTTTCACCACACGGTACCCTTCGCACCTTATTGTTTCTCATTTTACAAGCGGTGGGTCTGGTTGAGGAATGGATTCTAAAGAATGGTATAAGTCTTTTTTTAAACTAAGCCTTCGTAAAATATATTCATATACTTGGGTTCTGCAGATTGGATAGCAAATTTTATTTATATAATATCAAGTAAGGTAATTAACCTCCCTGATTTTCAAAAATACAGGGCAAAATCATGGAATCGTGGTTGAAGGATGGGGAATGGGACAAGTTCTTAATTGTCTATCTGTAGATACATCTTGGCCACTAACCTCATAACACGATTCAAGACTGGATAGTAGATTAAAGGGTACATAGTAGTTAAAGGGTTAATAAAAATATGGGCCAATATCTTCAGGTACGAGTAGTTAATATATATGCATGCCTGTAGTTGCAAAACAAAGCCTCATTAACCTTGTACGGATATGTCCACGGATATATAGTTATATATTTTACATAAATACCCAGCTAGTTTCCAGAAGGGAGAATTAATAATTCGTTGTCGCTAGCATGTATCTACAGATCTGCTGAACCCTCAGGATATTGAATGAATGAAGACGACCACTCAAGGAATAATATGATGTTTCAGCAGAAGCTGCAAGATTGAAAAATTGAATGGATAGATCATAAATCATAGATAACAAATAAAAAAGGGGGGGAGACGAGAGAGAAAACAAGTAATTCCCAAAAAGTGAGAGAACAAAAGGA